CTTTCCTTTAGTATCCAAGATAGCGAGATCGGTAGCTGTTATTTTTGAGGCGACGTGACCTTTGCGTAGTCGACTATCATGAGGATTTTTTGCAGACTTATGAGATGTAGTTTATCTCACTAAAATTCTAAGGCAATAGCTTTTGACTCATATTCTCGCAGAACAACTGATTTGATTGCATCTGAGCCAGGTATATGTTTCAACACTAGGTGCGAGTTATTTAGACTTAGGTGGCTATTCGTGGGTTGCTAACTACCGTGTTTGCTTAGTTCATTGTATATGTGACATTTTTTTACCAATGTCAACCAAGTAAATTAAACCTGCGCCTCGGGTTTATACTGTGCATATTCATGGCAATTAACTCCACATTTTCATTTAGAGGAATGGACTCGTTTTAATCTTGTGATTGTCGTGTACGTTTGTGTTACATTAACATACAATCTGGTACCAGCATGTGTTGGCTTTTGGACAGTTGCAGGGTAGAACGTTCCAAGTTTTTGAGGTATAAATATTGCCGAGCAAACCTGTGCTGTGATAAAGGCGCGACAATGTTCATGATATCGTTTAATGGTCTAAGTTGTGGAGGGCCACTGCACAGTAATTCAAAGACCGTGTACGTATTGAGTCCGAAAATTGTAAAACCGTTAGGTGACTGTCGAATAGTTTACGCTTTACGAATGAAACGATGCGCTAATAGTATAATTCATTTCGATAATCATTTGGAATGAATGGGACATTCACTTCAGCTCTGACTGTTTCTAACAAAATCGAGTCAGATATGTGTCTGTTGTAAAATTTACTTTTGTGCTGGACACTGATTTTTTTGTGGGGCGGCTGGCGAAAGAACGACGAAGCCCTCATATCCCGCGAAACTCGTCTTCACAGTGTGGTTGTTAAATTTAAATAACCAGGCTGTATCTCTCAACAGGAAAAGTTGATCCATCGGTCTGCTTTCTTCTGTCCTGTTCAGATTTGGGTGACGTCTTCTAGAGATAAAACGTTCAGCAAACAGGCAAATCTTAAAATTTACTTACTACATTTTAATACTCCTTAAATGATATCCAGGAAGAGAAGATATGTTGGGAGACAAACTGCCAACCTCAAAAACTAAGTTGACTATAACCATAGAACAAAATATCACATCTGAAACTTACTGAGTATAGACTGCCGCTTGTTCCGATGGATCCTTTTGACTCCAGTCATAGAAACAAGACTGAATTTCATGAAGGAAACTACTCACAAGGTTACTGAAAACTCTTCGACAGCAACCCTGTGAGTAGTTAGGAAAATATCTGCGATATCTCCAAAATCGTGCCAACTGAAACATGAGACAACCTGCGCGCGTGTTGCATAATATCATAAACGAGAGATTCAGTTGAATCTTTCGTGAAAACCAAACTGATTTGCAAATGAGTGTATTTCTCGAAGACAGGATTTCATCTAACTAACCATTCATTTTACTGGCCCATTTTCAGTCACAGCATTCTAATAAAATTAATTGGCCTGGAAAGAGAAAACCATTAACTTTCTAGTGAGATTGGAATGGATTAGGTATCAAGGGACCGCGATATCAATGGAAAAATCTGGTGGGAGCTAAGTGGTGCTACTAGGCGTGTAATCTCTCAGATCAGGGTTTGCTTGTGTTCCCAGACAGTGCTATTCTTGAAGGAGAAATCTCTGATGCATCGTTCTCTATTTCCAAGGAGCTTTGTAAAAATATAGCTAATTTCAAATTTTCTTCTGGAACCGATTTCCCTGCGAAATACGCGCACTCCTACGGCGATTTGGTTCGTAAGAACAACCTAACAGGAGGAAAGCAAAACAGAGGATGACTGTTCATTTGTTCACTTCCTTAGTTAAATACTGCGGGATTCGACTGTAAATGAAACTGAAATTTTAAGCAATAGGGATTAATTGTATGTTGAGTTTAGGCTGCTTAAACCTGGCGAGGAATTGAACGCTTGTTCGGAGAATCTGGGCGGGTATCTGTGCATTTTAAATTGGGAACTACTTAAACTTTTTCTTTTGTCTTCCGAGTGAGGCTGCCGGGTAGCTTTTACCCTGGAGATATCGCGCAAGGTTTTGCATCAATTGGTTTATGTACGAACTTCGAAATACTGCGGTTTCTAGATGATGTCGTCAATTCAAGTGCGAATTGGACAGGTTGTGCATTGCGTTTATTTGCCATAATTATCTACACCAGTTAAGTATCAGCAAATTTTGCGTCTTCTGAATGAAAATCATTTAATTCAGAGATTACACAAAAATCTTGTAGATTCAGAACTAAAGGCGAATTCCGATGTTTTTCTTAAATACACGGATTATATACACGGGTTTGGTCATTTAGTTAATGCATTTCGAGACCGCTAATCCAATATGACTCACTGTTAGTCAACCTAACTGCATGCGTCCCCGTTATTATACAAGCCTGCCTCCGAAATGTCGATTTGTTCTATCAACTGACATCTACAGTTTGATCAATACTGTATAACAATGCAAACGGCATACCGGCTCCCGGTATGATAAATGGAATTGTGAGGGACGCATACGCTGCAGCAAATTGCTGGACAACCACCGTACTCCACAGTGTGTTTAAGAATGCAAAGATGACAGGCGAATCGCATTAGTACCTTACATTGTATCGCGTAGTAATATGTACTTGAGCCGAGTACCTATATGAGAGAAGATACCCTAAGTAGAATCCAAAAGGTTCCGATTAATCAAATCGATCTGTGGTCATCGACAGTAACCCCTTGAAGAAATTCCGTTTATTTGGCTCAGCGATAAACTACCCTTTCTTGGTGCAGAAGGAGAGAATTTCGCGAGTGTATCTCTAGGTTTCATGGCCGGGCATATACAAACGAGCACCGATCCGCAAATCCAATTCCTAACTGTGTAGAGCCATAATAGTTTACAACCGCACACAACCGCACGTGCTGAAAGACATGGCATCTGCACACGATGCTCGTGGACGTTTAACTTCCTGTTAGCCAAGGTAACTGGGACAAATACTTGTATGGGTTCTATCGACATTTCAAGGGTGCAGTTTGGGTGAAAGTTCGCCGAACAGAACTAAAACACCTTCTGTGAAAGAACCTAACGTCGGAAGGCTACCTTGCGAAAACAGTGCTTGTAATCTGGCACGCAACAGAGGGCAGTCTTGCTTGGATTGTACTTCACAAAGCATCCTTGTTTAACGGAGAAGCAAAACTGAATAACGGATGAATTGCTGAAGGACCGTCGTGTTCTCCCCACTGCTATTCACAGCACGCACGCGTCAAATACACCCGAATCAAGTGACAAAGTCGTATCTCACTTGCGACAGACTCCAAAATTTCCTAACGATTTCTTTTATGCGGTTATCACCTGCGTCAAGTTCCAGGCATACGACCGTGAACCGCATCAGGTCAAGTTGAATTGAAGTTTATCCACCCTTCAAACCAGAATGTACACGTTCACTTCACATTGCATGCAATAAATAAACATGCATCTTGGCTCAGCACACATACGTGCGCTCACAGGGTGGGGAGTCACGCAATCTTCACGAGTCCCCGGACAATTACGGAACACGTGTATAGTCTACACTACAGAGAATATACGTCCTGATTCCGAACCGGTCATTCTCAAACGATACAAACCGTTTGACTCATTCCACCTTTTGCTTTGTTTTCATTTCATCAGGATGCGTCTAAATATTGTAATAATCATCATTCTCACATGACATTAGATGAAATTATGGTAAGAATCTCTGTCCTCGGAAGTCGGTCCAAGTATTCTCTGCATCCGTTAACAAAACCATTCCAGATTAGATCTCAGATTGATTCTGAAGCTTCAGCTTACTGAATTTCGGAGGTTCCCGCCTCATGTCACAAAAGATGTCTCAAGGAATTATGCAATCGAGCGAGGCCAAAGAACAGTCTCATCACCCACTTCCTAATCCAATGCAGCATCATTTGTTGAATTCATGAAAGAAAACAGTTCACGACTTTCGTGGTGAAATATCGGTGATTGAAACGAAATTTTAACCGTATCCGGAGAAACGATGAAGATCTCATTTCCCGTAAGTGATTTGGCATGTAGGGGATAAAACGGAAGAAAACCATATGTGCCATCGAAGAGTAATCGTGTTCTTATCGGTTGTGTCGGTTTAATGTGAAACGGTCTGTCGACAGGGATGTGTGGAATTTCACAACAAGTTTCGTTACGAATTCATCCTTTATTCTTCGTTTTGACACAAAGTGTGCCATCCACTTATTCGAGTTTATCTGTATTGTCAAAATTTATATCAGCCGACCAGGAAAGCACAAATAAAGAAGCAAGCGTTGATGGTAAAAATAGAACGTACACATAACTGAACAGATAATCGCGTCCACCAGATACGCGGAAGTGTCTGGAATATGAAGCCATGCTGATGACTGTCCTTCTACGGTGCCTGATTCAACAAAAACACGCACTCCGGGAGTGCAAGTGGCTCAATTGAGCTACTCGGACAAGCGGAAAAATTGATCTTGCTCACATACTAGGTAGAAAACAATAAATACCGATTGTACATCTCCACAAAATAACGTGATTCCGTAATCCTGCAAGACAACGGGTATGCAGGGAATGCTGAACAAGACCGATATACAAGTTCAAAACAAATTTTCCAGTCTAGGCACACTATGGAGGCTAAAGATATGGAAGACATCTTCCATTTAAAAGAAGGCTCCACAGAATTCGCTACAGATGTTTATGACAAAATTATCAGATTTCAAGCTGGTAAGTCAATGGTGCAATCCCGAAAAACGAACTTATTCACATATGGTCCAGAAAATTTAGCGAACTCTGTACTTTCGCCCATGAGTATTTATTGTGCCTCGTTGTTGGTGATGGGATGTAGGTGTACACGATTTAATGTGTAACGTTTGCGTGATATATATTTCGAGAACAGCCAATCCTGATTGCTTTGTTTGAGAAGGCAACAATCTTATTATTTCAAATCGTTTTTAATGAAAATTCAGGAATAACAGCTGCGTCCGGCTATTAGTCGAACTTCGGGGTAACAACGTGTCCAACAAACACGGGCATGGTGGAATCACACACGAGGGCGAAGAAGAACGGATGGTCAACAGAAATTGTCTGAAGCAACTGAAAGCTGGCACACACAGTAAATAAGGTCGCAGCAGCTGCTGTCACTCCTTCTTCATCAAGCTGAATATAGAAGAGAAATGAGAACAGGATTATGTGCTCATAAGTAATACGCTATTCATAATACTGCCGAAACTCTCCCAGTGCTCGTTTCTAAATGGGTGAAACAAGAGATCTGGTCAAAATATGGGCTATGAGGTAGACATTTGCAGGGAATACAATGTCATTTATTGGCGAACAATACATGGTTCACCAAAAGGAGCCCCAGAATTAATGGATTAATATATCGGTAGTACACAGATTACAAGGGATCCAGGTGTGCTATGTTGCCAAAAATCATATGATGAAAGGGAATTAGCTGTTCACTGCACTGAATGAAGGCACGGACCCCATTCACCAGCGAGATGATTTAGGGGTTATCAAGAAGCCCGTTGGGGCTAACAGTTTAGAATAGTCTAAAATGCTGAACATCCCTCAGATTACTGGAATGAACAGCCCGAGAATTAAACCTACCTCTAGCACGGCTTTGTGATATGCATCGGTCACCGACAAGCGTGATTGCCACATCCTGGACAAGTCTCCTCCATCAAACAATTTCTTCATTCCACATTCACACAAAATTGGCTTCAAATCTATCATGGGTTGATCCGAGAGCTTGAATTTCGGAAGAAACAAGTGGGCTTCTTCCATGTGGAACGGGCTTCTCAATGCGGAAGCCAATTGTCCTGGTGCTTGTAATCTGGAAAGAAGTTTCGGCAAACCAGCTGTTTCGTGTGGCAGCAAAATCAACAGGGCCCATTCACTCTGGGAACTGAAATAAAACCGACATTTGGGAAATTGCAGATAAATTCCAGCGCACAGGAAAGACTGAAACAATGCAAATGACTGGAAAATACTGCGTGATTCAGTAGTAATCCGGGTAGGGTATGATGACCCTCCTCATGATCCCCTTGTTTAACATCTGAAAAACGTTAAATGCAAGAGAGAGTAAAATGCATCGGCAATAACCTGAATTTATCCGTACTCCACCCCCTGTATGCAGCAAATGAGCCGATCAGTTTGATGACACAAATGTGCGACCGATATGTCATAACAATATTCACACTTTTTTCTCTGCTCTTTGCTAAACTACCGCTTGCTCGTCTGTCGAATAAGCAAGTGAGTATTTGTTTAGTCATGACAACAATCATATCCTTTCTTCATTGCAGATCAACCAGCCATATGGAGTGCTGTATTATTCATTCGCACTAATTGCGCTGTAATGTCTAACATGTGAATTGCACTTACACTTTTGCAAGAGGTACAGAAAATTCAAAATGCCTCGTGTGCCAAAATTGCTTTGGGCTTCTTTTGAGCCACGGTGGTTCTCCGAGATACGTCACATACGGGTTCCGCAGAAATCCCCATACATTCATCTCTGTACAATAAGGAAACATGACGAGCTGATAGCCTCTGGGTACTAAAGCGCTCATGCCAGGCCTTCTGATGCCTCACCGCCTCATCATCACCGTCATCATCGACAGCATGTAATCAGTACCCAACTCGGATGCTTCACTGTCGTCTTTCAGAGCATCAACTAGATGCAGACGGTGCCATCGAGCTTGTTTGCGATTAGGACTTATTCGCCGAGGCCAATCACCCGTAAATCAGCATCACACGCATTCAACATCCAAATTTCAAACTGATTGCTTGATGAGCAGCAGAAATTCTACGTACTGGTTCGTTACAGGGTGGCCATGTTAGCCGGCAATCGGGCCAACAGCCCCAAGATACCGTTTTTATTGGAGTGTGTCGCTTCAAAGGACCCCATGTAGGCCCTTGAGACTAAAATTATTTTCAAATTGGGTCTTCAAATGGATACAGACCTAGTGAATGTAATACGGACAAGAATGATTTCAGATGGGTGAGGATATTACCACAGCATTGTATAACTCCCTACGATCACCTTTGTTTCTTCTGGGCATCATATGTTGTTCATTCGGAATGATGAAAACCCTCTGCAGGGTTCATGAAGAACATGACACGAATGGTTTGGTAAGAGTTTGTAACCCTACAGTACATGGGCACAACTACGCACTAGGGAGTGGGAATCTATTAAGACCAGATACGCATATTGTGACGGGATCCGGCATTTATACATGAGTGCCAGCATCTACAGAGACGCTGTGCTTGGCCATATCCATCAATGTTGGTGGACAGTAAACGAAAATGAGATCCGGACTGAATACATATTATACGGAATGTGCTATTAACCTAGCTAAAGTTGGAAAATAGCTAAATCATACTGCTGAAGTCAACGAAATTGAGATAAAGATGTATGAAGACTGAAATTAGAAGCGCACCGAATTTTCCAAATTCGCCTGACAGTCTGTAGAGATGACCATAATGTTAGCCAAAAACCAACCGTTTGCTTTAGGAATAGACTTACTCGCTCCGTCGAAAAGGAAGCTTTATAGCCATACAGTCCAGTTCTGCGAGATCAGCCAGATAGAAGGTTGATTTCCTATACATCATTTGAACTTTCATTGATTCCCCGTTTAGGCAATGGAAGTCACTCTCTTGAGTTTGTTTCTTATCAAACTGGTGATCCCATGAGCCTATGGATTTGTTCAGATTATAGCTGCGCATCACAGCCACTTACCTCGAAAATACAACGCGTTGATTAGCAAGGATTTCGAGTTCTGGTCGAGAAAGCTAGGCGGCAACAGGTCCCTTATTTTATCCTTTGTATTTTCGGCAACCCAGGCGTTAATGTGACATCTTTTCGCCTCTACATTCGGCAGTTCGGTTAGCTGTATGGCAAATGACAGTGAGAGAATGTTGGAGCAAAATGATTACCAGCTCAACTAAGGCCTTATAACACGTGGCAATCCGTGCACTGTATTCCGAACGTATATCGATCGAATGCAGAAGAAATAGTCGATTAGCAAGATTCAAGTCCACGTCACTGGACGCCTCGAAATACTTGGAAATTATTGGTCCATAGGACTGATGAACAGCATCGGATCTGAGCTTCGGGGGAATGTGAAGCACCTGCTGCATCTGTTGCAGTGTTTCCCCGTCGGCTCCGGCCATCACCAACAACGAGGCACAATAAATACTCATGGGCGAAAATACAGAGTTCGTTAAATTTTCTGGACCATGTGTGAATAAGTTGGTTCATGGGAAATCCAATGACTTACCGGCTTGCAATTTGATAATTTTTTCATAAACATCTGTAGCGAATTCTGTGAGGCCTTCTTTGAATTGGAGAACGTCTTCCATTTCTTTAGCCTGCATAGTGTGCCTAGTCTGCAAAATTGTTTTCAACCTATAT